TTTTTTTTAACAAATTTCAATAAGATTTATCAAATTCGAGGGAGGAGGAGTTTCCATTCAAATGGTTGAAATTGAATATTTTTATTATAAGCGTAAACAAGTAAAGTTAGAATTTCATTTAAACAAGAATACGATCAAAACAAGTTATCAAAATTGTTTGACCTCTCTTATCAATAACTGGACCGCAAACAAAACACTAAGTTTTAATGATATTCGTTAGGAAAGATAATAGTTAACGTGATATAAGAAGTTATCTGTTCAATAATTATTTTCCATATTTGTTATAAAAAATGTACCTAGTAATAAGTGGTAATTTAATTGACGTGACGATGTGAGAATCTTTTTAATAAACTGATAGCAAATACGCCGAATAGTAAATGTAATGTATAAAAACTATAAGAGCAAATTTGTAGATCTTGAAGATGATAATCTATTTAGACTAATATTATCGAGATACTAATATTGCACTGTAGGTACCAGTAATACACTAACCGGCATTTTTTCGCAATTTTATAATGGAATGATTATAAAATTGATTTTTGTTTGATACAGAAAATTTCCTTCTGAGCTACTAGAAGTAGCGTTTCGAAAAATATATAAAATATACATTTATTAGAATAAATCAATAGCTCTGAACCCACGATCATTTTAACGCTACCAAAAACTGTATAGGCTCAGCTCAATATTTTTTTTGTTGAACAGAAACAGTTGGTCTATCTACATTTGATATATTTCATTAATAGAATTTCTTGTGTACCATGCCTGTACTGAAGATATATATTTTAATTGTATACAAGAACTCCGGGGAAGGGATATTTTAACTTGGAAATGTAATTTAATTATTTTTTTCGAATGAAAAAGTAGGAATATTGAGTAAAAAATAGGAATATCTACTTGTTGATACATGACAGTCCGAAGTATCAAATATGAAATTTTGATATCAAACTTGAAATTTTGTAGTCGCAAGGCGAAAGCTCTTACTACTGAGCCACGGAAAAAGCTAAGTTCTATATTAATTAAATTTGTAGAGGATAGATTTTACTGAGGTATTCATCTAATCATTCTGGAAAAAAAACTATAGTGATATTTTAAATATGCTGTATATTAGCATAAGGTTTATTATTTATAGTTAGTTAACGTGAATGACTACTAAATACTTTGGCAATTATTTATAATTTAACATAGATCATATATAGCGTTTGGTCCTAGTAAATTCGATAAGGAATTGTTGTTTTATCACTATCGATTTGCGATTTGTTCTGAGGTATATAGTCTGAGGTTTTCCATCCCTGATTATCGTTTATTACTAGATATAGTATATTATATTACTATAGCATGTATTAAAAATATTTATTTATTTATTTATTTATTTATTCATAAGCAAGCCGTATTTAAAATCATATCAACATATTTGGTAATGAAGTTACATATTATAACTTCAGATAGTTTACAGATTGCTTACAGATTCTTTAGTGGAAAATGCTATTAATTAAATTGTGATATAATTTAAATAAACATAAAAAAAATGTTTTGTTTTTATAACATTCTAGAGTGCTATACAATATTCTTATACCATAGGTAATAATACAATTATTATCAGGTTACCAAATTTATTTTTGCACCGAATCGATACCGTTGGAATATATAGATTTTATGATAAACATGTCTATTTAAATCATAATATATTTAAATTTGTTTAAAAAATTGTAACATTTGCTATAATTGCATTAACACCCAGCAAATTGTCTTTAAAAGGGTATATTATTTTAATTGGCAATAAAACTATGCAAATAAAAAAAAATGCTATAGTATACAGGGTATGTCAGAGCTTAACATCAAGGCGAAATGTTGTGGTAGTATAGATCGTAACTAACATGAAAAAAATTAGGAAAAAATCTTTCTATATAGTTTGAAAATTATAAGCGTTTAAGTGCAAACTAGAGCTTAGGTGAAACTGTGCCCATTTTTTCTGGTTATTTTGGTTGTTTTTCATTAATTTTGTTCATTTAAACTTAGATCCATAACCTTACATAACATTTCTAGGACCACAGTCAACAATAATGACACAGATACTACGAGTTTTGAAGAATTAAGACTTTTCGTTAAACTACAAATTTAACACTTTCAAAATTGGTCTACTTTGAGAAGCTCTCCTTAAAAAAAAATTACTAAAGTATTTTGGCAAAGTCTCATCAAATCATAAGTCGGCATTTAATCACTATTGTAAAATGGTGAAATCGTAAATAATTTCGTAATAAAAAAAATCGTGTAAAAAATAACATAATTTTTACTAGTACATTTTACTCACAATCAGTTCAAATGTTTATTGTGTTGTAAATATATCAAAGAATATAAGAAGTCTTTTTTTAACAAATTGGTCGTGTGATGGAAATACATATATTATCTATTATAATATATACTATAGAATCCCATAATCAAAACCAAAATAATATGACAATAACAATTGCTCCGGAGTAAACAAGATTATCTTACTATACCTACTAAACGAGCTTTGTTCTCGGTTTTAGTCGATGGTTCGATTCTACTTCTGGTCAGGCACTCCTCTGAAGTTTCTAAATGAGATACATGTTATGGCCGTGTAGCGGTTAACCTGTACTTTGATCAAGCTCTAAGAACCCCCTTGGGTGCCCCCATTAGAGCCACAAATATTCAAACTACAACCACAAATGA